CTTCGAAGTTGTAAGAGCACAGTTTGCTGATGATCCGTGAATGATAGATCCAATAGATGAACAGTGGTAGGAGGAGCTCGCGGAGCCAAATCGCATGATAGTACGTAGGTCACTGTGAGAATAAATCCAAAGATTGAGGGGCGAATAACGCAGGAGGAACTCTTTTGCGACCGCTCGAAATCTTGAACTTTACGTGGCATTGAGCATGAAATCCGCGTGATGCTATTGCAGGGCTCATGTGAGGACCCGCGAAAAGCTACTATCCGTAGCCTATTACTACAAGTGGAGACCGTCGAGATTTCTTACTTTGTCTTGCTGGATACTACTTTTGCCTCAGATTACTGTGTTGACAGCGTTTTATCCGTGTGAATTGTGCACCATTATTCTTCTTTTGGCGTATTTTCTAAGCGGTGCAAATTTGGGAGCTATTCTTTGGCTAATTCCGGAGATCTCACTGATTTGCCATACTGCCCTCTCTGTCCGCCATCTTGGATTTGCTCTAGCTTGTGATGCCGTCTCAAGCTACTTGTGGTTCGTGTTCGAAAGTTGTGGGAAATAAGGCTCATGCACTTCGATGCTTCAGCTGTGATGTTTTGTTCCATATTTCGTGCATTGGCTTATCCGCTGACGTGTTTCGAAAATCGCTCGACATCCGACATCGGTTTTTTTCAAGTTATATGTGATAAATGTCGCGGTACAAGACATCAGAATACGCAGCGACCGCAAACAACTACGGAAAAATCTCTCTTTCAGATAGAAACAAACCGTTCACCACGTGGGATCAAACGCCCTCGTGAAAGTACCTCTGTCACCTCGCCTTCTATTGTCTCTCCGCGATCTGCACCACCACCAGCGTCTTCGACCCCGGCCGAACCCCAGGTTCAATGTTTTCCACCGATGGAAGACTCAGACTCAGAAGCTACGAAATGCCGCTTCACTGATCGGTCCGTGAATTTCTCAGAGCCTGTCTGTGAACTTCTGAACACCGAGGATCCATGGACCACTCAAAAGCGCAAGGGCCCACGTAATCGAGTTCAGACGTCACCTGCTGATAAACAACTACCCAATCAGTTAAGCGCCTCTAGTTCTGCTCCCACAGGTTCATCACTGATTTCGCTGAGGCGTCATAATCTCATGGTCTTCCACGTACCGGAGTCAAAAGATGAAAACCCTCAGATACGTTATGATCACGATGTTGAGTTCCTCCAGGGGCTCATCGATAGACTCTTGGATGTGGGCGAGGACAGTGTGACGATTAAACAAGTAATCCGACTTGGCCAGAAAACTAACCAGTCATGTCGACCTCTGAGGATCACTTTTGCAAATCCTAATATGCCGCAGCTCATACTGTCTCGTCTGTCAAGGCTGAAAGGCATAAAAGTTCACATCCGCCGAGATTTGGAACCCGAGGACAGGGATCGTTTGAAGACTGCGGTCATTGAGCTCAAACGCCGTACAGAGGAAGGTGAGACTGACTTACAAGTTGTAAATTTTCGGGTGATCAAGAAGGGTGTACGAACCCGTATCAACCGGTTGCTCAACCTCCAGGCACGTCCCGCAGTACCTCCCAGGACCTCCGTGTCGCATTCGCCAACGTGTGCAGCCTAATGAACAAACGTGACGAACTGTGCCGCTTCGCTGTCTCGGAGCGGCCGGACATTTTAGGACTTGCAGAGACATGGCTGAACTCCGACATCATACCCCAAGAAGTCGTGTTGTCAGGATACTCTTGTTTCCGATGTGACCGAAAATCAAAGGCTCACGGTGGTGTTCTGTTGTACATAAAATCGTCACTATCTGGCAAACTTATCAGTACCTATCGGAGCGAGGATAGTTTATGCGAGCAATTGTGGTGCACAATCCGTCTCAGGCGCGCAGAACTAATTGTGGGGGTTATCTACCGGAGCCCATTAAACCGTTGCTGCGATTGGATACCACATGTACAGAAGCACATGAGCCGCCCTCAGTTCTTACTGATGGGGGATCTAAATTTACCTAAGATAATTTGGCCAGATGTTCGACTTCTTCCCGGTCATGGCAACGTTGAGGCTCAATTCGCTAAAATGACTATTGAAATTGGGGCAACGCAACATGTCATCCAACCGACGCGCGTAACTCCGTACTCGGCATCTTGTCTGGACCTAATGTTTACGAGCTGCGAGCAGAAGCTAAAAGAGATCAGAGTCATCGAACCTCTGGCGAACAGTGACCACTGCTCTATTGTAGCAAGCTTAGAACTGTCGTTACCATATTACAATCAACAGAAGCCGACATTCAACTATTGGAAGACGGACTTCAACGGACTCGTCCAAGCCGCAAGTCAGACTGATTGGACACTACCACATGATGCGTCACTTGAGGCGTGGTGGTCATTAATAAAGGGGAAGCTTAACTCGCTCTGTACTCGGTTCGTTCCCCTTAAGTATCCAAAAATCGGACCTGTCAAACCGCATTGGTTTGATAGGGAATACAGACAGTTAGCGCGACGACGTCGTAAACTTTGGGATAGATACATCAGCTCGGGTTGTGATGAAGATTACGCGGTGTACAGGAAACAGCGTAACTTATGTAACGCCGCAAAGATCAAGAAACGCCGGCAGTTCGAAGAGGAGCTAGCATCCTCGGCCACAACTGCACCCAAGCGAATATTTGCCTACTTGAAACGTCAACTGAAACCTGGAGACGACCTACCGGTCTTAGAGAGCTTAGACGGGAAGACACTCATTTCAAGCGCGGAGCGCGCGGACGCCCTGGCTACGCACTTCCTCACTGTATTTTCCAGTAAACCGGCGGCTGTTCCAGTACCGGCACAGGTTGCGCAAGTCTTGCTCGACAGCCTACAATGTGATGCAGTCGAAGTACATCAGCTACTCGTCAACCTCAATGGTGCAAAGCCCCCCGGGCCAGACGGACTTCACCCACTAATACTCAAGTCCCTATCGATTATCATCTCACCAGTTGTGACAAACCTTTTCAATAGATCGCTCTCTGAAGGATCCGTCCCGAACGACTGGAAATGCTCGATAGTTAAACCGCTTCCCAAGGGTGGTGATCCGAGTAAAATAGAGAACTATAGACCGATCTGTTTGACTTCGGTATTATCCAAAGTTCTCGAGAAGGTTGTGAAAAAGTGTCTGCTGTCGTTCTTCGAATCGATGGACGTATTGACGCCAGCGCAACACGGCTTTACGAAAGGGCGATCCTGCATCACCAACTTGATGTACGCAAACCACCAGTGGGTTCGAGCTCTCAATGAACAGAAGGATGTTGACGTGGTGTACATCGACTTTAGTAAGGCGTTTGACAGAGTGAACCACGAGGTACTCCTTCGTAAACTGAGGACATACGGAATCGGTGGCACGTTACTTCAGTGGATACAAGAGTTTATTGTGGGACGAAGGTTTAGAGTACAGGTCAATGACTATCTGACAGAATGGTTCCCATCGACCAGTGGCGTGCCTCAAGGAACTGTACTTGGGCCAGCATTATTTCTTATTCATATCAACGATCTTCCGCAGCAGCTCCAGTCACCATGTGTCCTGTTTGCAGATGATTTGAAAATCTGGAGGATCATTGAAAACCAGGACGACTGCGCTCGCCTCCAGCATGACTTAGAGCGACTGTCAACGTGGTCCACTGAAATGCAACTCCCTCTTAACGCAAGCAAGTCGGAGTTCATCAGTATCACCAGACGTCCAGCCACTCGATCATACACCTTGGACGGCCAGTTGCTCCATCCCAACACATCTGTCAGAGACTTAGGAGTTCTCTCACGACATGATTTAAGATCACTAGAAAATACAGAGAAATTGTACCGTGCGGGACTTCGTATGCTCTGGGCATTACGACGCAGTTTCTCCACATGGTCCGAAGAAACCGTCCCTCGTCTATTCACCTCGCTCATTAGACCAATCCTTGAATACGGTGCCCCAGCTTACCATCCGATAACCCAATGGGAAACTGAAAAACTGGAGAAAATACAGCATATCGCAACTAGAATGATACCAAGTCTACGAAAGCTTCCATATGAAAAACGTTGTGAAAAGCTCGGACTCTACACACTATCCTATCGCCGAGTAAGAATTGATCTTATTATGACCCATCGAGTACTACACTTGAATCACTTCCCCATACTGCGGCCAATATTTCACCTGCGAGAACCCTGTAACACCCGAGGACATCGTTACAAACTCAGGGTCCCCAGCATGAACAAAGGATTGAATTAAACGCTTGCGCTTAATCACAGATGCGAGTGAGAACGCTTAGTGATGTCACAGCGTCTAATCGTAGAAGATATTTTCACGTACGATGGATCACTGTGTAGAGCTGGTAAATCCGGTTCGAATGAGCGTACAGTGACAACGCTGCGAGAAGATGGAGAGAGGATAGAGGGAAATAATCCAAATGAACCAGTAGCACGCACGTCACGCGTGTGTGAGGGACTGTGCGTACACCGAGCAGCCGGTGGGAAACCGTTGTATCAAGAAATCAACGGGGAAACTTAAGACGTTTAACGGCACTTAAATAGCCCAATAAAAACATGAAACACATAGTTTACTGCTCGATCAATCTTGAATTCAGCACAATTAATGGGAAGAGCGTTTTTGTGTTACAACGGACCAATGAAACCTGAGTATAGTAAATTGGTTTCAGCCAAGCGCAACAGAAACTTTTGTAGTAAAGAAGTTACTGGCACGGGCCAGCCATTTAAATCCATGAAACAACTGATGAATTCTCCCGCTTGATTGCGAAGAACCGGAAATGGGCGCTGTCTCTAAACTGCGTGCAAATTTTATAAGTAATTTGAATCCAACGCCAATAGTCCTAATCTCGTGGCCTGTAGTTGGTAAACGAGCATATCTGCTTTATTAAACACGGTTGGCACAACAAGGTAGACGACTGTTTGCATCGAATATCTAAATGTGTACTCTGTACGCCCTGATGATTGTTTTCTGTTTGGTTCGCATTCCTATCGAAGCTGCGATCCCAGGTGAGTCCCGGGTGGTTGTCTGTTGCAAACGCAATCCGATACCGCCTATTTCTTTCGATGTTTCACCTACACGCAATCACTCTCTGAGTGTGACCGGTTACCCATGACTATCATCTAGGCCTACTGCCAATCAAAGTACCCCCTCAATTAATGCTAGTTCACTGCGTCCGTCTCACAGATCAGTAAGTGTTTGAATGGTGGAGCAAGTGACGAGGAAATTTAACAACCGTTCGCCACAATGGGACGGAGGCAATGCCGTGAGCCATGTGGCGAATTCATCATGGTGTACACTAAGGTGTATTGCTCCACGTGTATTTAACCTAGATGTTAGAGAATTAACACCACAAATTAACACGCGACAAATCACGGACATAGTGGTTCCGTAAGTCCAATCTTTATTCCCAACCCAAGCAGGAATACCACACAATTCGTATCATTTTCAAATAGACACAGACATCACCACATACATATAGTTAAAAACGACTCACAATCCCTTATTCCATTTACGATCTCCCAATTTTGTCAATTAATTGCAATCTTCCCGAGGATCCCGGACCATGCCTCGAGTTCTTTCCGCGTTTCCGCTACGATCGCGACAAGCATAAGTGCGTGAATTCAAATACAGCAGATGTTTTGGAAACAGGAACAAGTTCAATTCACTGTCGGTTGCCAGAAAGAATGCGTAAGCAAATAATTTCGCATCAATTGGCCAAACGTTGCCTGAATCTCAAGCGAAGCCGTTGTGCCTTACTGTGATTCACTGATTAGCATTGCACAATAAAACATCCGGAAGGTTCCGAGAATTGTGTTCCCTTTGTGAGTATGTCCTCTAACGTGGTACTTGCCTTGCAAATTGCATAGTGGAGACGGAACCAGCTAACCGAATGCCAGCTTGATCCCGAATCAGCCGCCGAGTAGTGCATAGGTGGTTTGCAATGTGGTTTTTGTAATGTTTACGTCTCACCGATTGTCCTCGATTTCCTAGTCCGTTCCGAGATCCCACTGAAATTGGAAAAGGTCGTACGAAGTTTCGAATATAAGACCAGTTTCGAATGCAACATTGCCACTGAGGTCGGCTCCTTACCATGTCAGCAAGGGTATCTAGCTAAACATGTTCATCGTCTTTTGGTCCCCAACCGGGGAGCCGTGAAGCTACAACCGAGGCCAGCTCCGAAGTGAAGACCTTCATTCCTATCGACCAAGTCATCGGTTGGCCACCCCTCCTCTTCTTCCATCCACACCACCGGTGAGCAAACTACGCACGTCGCGGGAGTCGGCGGGCTGATATGCGCAACATGTGACCCAGCCATCGGAGCCTGGTGCGTGAAATGGCGCTGTTGAGTGGTTCAGTTCCTTTTCTTGTGCCATAAACAAGGCGTCGAACACGCTCGTTGCCTACTCGGTGTTCTCACCAGATGTGAGCCAAACTGCGAAGACACCGATGGTCGAACGTAACTAGTCTCTTTATATCCGCTGATCTAAGGGAGCCAGGTTTCGCAACCATACTGTAAGCTAGAGCGTACCGCTGCATTGTACACTCTACCCTTCAAGGCGAGAGTGTTGTCGCGCCGCCGCCATATGTGGTGAAGACTAGCAAAAGCACTTCGAGCTTTTGCCATACACTTCGTGATCTCTTCTTAAATCCCACGAACGCTGACACAACTTCTCAGGTAATTGAATTTTTGAACGACTTCTAGCTGATCCCCACCAAGGATCAGCTCAGGAGGCGATCCTTGCCAATATTGGAGGAAAGATTTGCACTTCGATGATGCAAAGCAAAGCCCGAAGTGGCTGCCAGCCAGCGCTAATCTGTCCAGTGCAGCTTGCACGTCTGGGGGTTGTCACAGATGAGGGCAATATCGTCAGCCTACTCCAAGTCAAGAAGTCGTTTTGCTGAGAGTAGTTTCACACATTCTAACTCGTCTCCTGTGAATGCAATCTCCATGACTTCATCAACAGCTAACTTGAAGAGGAAAGGTGACAATGGGCATCCTTCTCTCACAGCGCTGAAGAGATTGAAGGGTGGCGATAGTTTGCCGTAAGCCTTCACTCTGCCCGTGCTACGCGCGTATAATGCTCGGGTAATATTTAAAAATTTCTCGGGCACACCTTTCCTGAGTAAACAGTTCCAAAAGGCACATCGATCAACCGAATCGAAGGCACCTTTGATGTCGAGGAACACGACTACGGTGGGCCGCCAATATGTGTGACGGTGCTCCAACAATTGACGCAAATTAATGATGGGTTCGATGCAGCAACGACCTCGACGAAACCCCGTTCGCTCCTCACGAAACTGGCTTTCACGAGCGCCAGTCAGTCTGTGAAGGGTTATGGAGGCGAGTAATTTGGAGGCGATGGGAATCATACTGATTCATCTATGGTTGCCGCATTTAGAACGCGAGCTTCCTTTGAAGATGGGAGCAATGACGGAGCGGCTCCAGTCGGTTGGGACCGTATCTGGCTCCCACAGTTTCACTATAGTTTTTCACTATAGTCACGTATAGTTTCACTAACACCTGTTCTTCTGTTGCTCGTTTCCCGTATCAGCCGGAATAACTTAAGAGGTTTACCAAGGACAGCGGCCCATTTCCATATCTGATGCACGATGGGACCACCAAGATTCGCGGTCTCTCTTCAGGCTAGCACGGAGTTTTGCCAAGGGCTGTTTGCGGTTTTCATTGTGTTTGCTTCCAACCGGAATATGCCGGCGAGCATCGATAAGTTCCAGAGACCGCGAAGAGACCCAATGTCCAGTTTGGCGATTAAACTTGCTACATGAGGATTCGCCTGCTGCTAGTAAGCTCTGATGAACATGTGACCAGTGACTTTCAATTTTCTCCAGTGAGCGCTTACTCAACTCGAATGTCAGCGTAAGCATTCAGAACAGCTGGCTTCGTCAGTTGGCTGGTGTCAATGCGCTCACAGCGTCGTCGTGGGCGTCCGCCAAAACGCATCCGCATGTCAGCACATACAAGTGAATGATCAGTGTCTACACACGCGCTCCAAATCGAGCGACAGTTCTGGACGCAGCCTTTCCAGGGGTAACTTATCGCAGTGTGATAGATTTGCGTCCATAGCAGGTTTGAGGCTGGTGAGCGCCAAGTCACCCTCCCGCATGTGCTTTGTCGGAAGTTAGTGCTGGCAAGAAATGAAGTAACCGCTCACCGTTATCATTACGGGAGCGTACACCGTGCTGAAAGCCCAAATGCATTTCATCCGTAGACAACTTTCCAACTTGAGCGTTCAAATCCCCAGCCAGCGCAACAGTGTCCGTGCTACTTTTGTGGCGAAGGAGCAGTGTCAGTTGGTGGTAAAATTCGTTCTTTACGGAATCATCGCTAGAGTTTGTGGGTGCATAGGCAGCGTTGACGAATAGACACCTGTTAGTCCCGCACGACTTCGAGGCTTTGAACCAGCCAGCAAATCGGACCTCACACATCCGGCTACTGATTGGAATCCAGTCAACCAGAGCAGCTTCAGCCCGGGGACTCAGGGCAATGCCAACACCAGCTTGGCCAGTGCTGGAAGCTGCATCGTCACCGGATAGGCGCAATGGAAAATACTGCTGGTGTCATCTCAAGGGGATCGCAGATTGAGCACAGAGCAGGAGCCTTGCAGGCGGGTCTCCGATAAGCAGCAGATATCGATGGAGAGTGTATCTAATGTTCGGGTAAGTGCTGCCTGTTAACCGATGTGTAGCAATGTGCGTACATTGGGGCATGCCAATCTGAAGGAGGATCGAGAGCTCCAAATGGAAGCCGATGCACTGGAATGGACCGCTTGGTTGGACATGGGCTTGTCGATTGGAGAGGAGTGACGCTCCGCGTTCGCATGGGAGTTAAACCTAGCAGATAAACCCTCAGCAAAACATGTTGAGTGGGTGCCAAAAATCGGGGGATGAAAGCTGAGGTGATAATACTGAAGTTGGTACGGGACGGTAAGATAGAAAAACCTGAGGAGGAATAAGCAAATTGGAAGGCTTGAATCGTAGCCTACAAACCCCTATCCATCCCGCTCGATGCAGCAGATAGGGCACCGTTGATTATCCCCTGGGTGGCCAGAGCATCAGGAATTTGTTTGACGTAAGGTTCATAGTATTGCGTGGGCAGGATGCTGCCAGTTTGCCCAGGCCTAGACAGGAGGACGATAAGGGTTCTCAACCAAAGTCCTTGGTTCCAAATCCTGACCGCAAGGCACCGAGTTTGGCGTTGGGTTACAAGGAGTCCGTTTTAAGGAACATGGAGCCATCCTTATTCCAACCCCAACCTGGAGGATCAAGAGGCTGAGTTGTCTGGCCTCTAACCATTAACCAATCTGATATGAGTGGTACTGAAGGTGCGAAAAAGCCCCACCCAGCATAGCTCAATGGATCAGTGAGGAACATAAACCATCGCACCACGGTAAGGTACAGCCTCATTGCAACTGTTCACAAATTATGAACCATTTATTGCGGGAACAGGTACATTATGTTTACCATCTACCATAAAGATAAATTCAGTGTAGGCAAACATTTTTCGATGTATCTTGGCTATGTCCGTAACATTGTTCACATGCAGCAAAATACGCAGATGCACAACGTTGGATAAAAGCAGCGGGACTACGGACTCGGGTGGCTGACGACTCATTGGGGACTGCCAAATTGGTAAACATTCCCCCATTATCTAGCTCTGTGAAGTGATCGATTCAATGTCAACCTCAAAATCCGACAGCACACGACTACATACGAGCGATCATCAGGACCATGGTAGATGCCAGCCATACATACAACCAAACCGAACTTTAAAGACCAACGACTCCTCAAGAAAACAGCTAATGGCCGACCTCTAAACGATCGGCACACCCTTTATTCCTAGTTCAAAATCCGCTAGGTAACTTTCGCTACAGAGAAGCTATCCTACTTATATACCAATGCAAGGGTCTTATTTGTAAATTGGTCGAACTCCATCACCGTCAGACATCCGAGTCTCGAGATATCATAATTATCAACGAAACCTAACTGA